AGAGTACATCTATAATAATGTCAAAAATTAAAAAAAATGTTTAAAAATCCACAGGCAGCTATGCACAGACCACAGACATGAGAACCGAGCTCTCTCAGACTTTTTTTTAAGGTCAATTTATTTTGAATGAATTTATAAGAATAATTTTGCTATCTTTCCAAATAAGCATTTCTGTATATTTTCAAGTTTAAATGCTATATTCAAGTAATTTCCATTTATATATAAAGATAAATACAGCAATCAAAACTTATTTAGCATTGCACAGCATCACACAAGCTGCTTTATGAAAAAAAAGGAGCCATTTATAAACCCAAATGTTATGCTAGGTTCTACAGACATGCATTCCTATTGCAGAAAAAGCTGCGTCTGTCTCCTTTAACCTCAGAAGCTCTTCTGGAATTTACATAACAGAGCTTAGACAAGATCATAACCTCAACAGGGATTAAAATGGTGTTCAAAATATATCATTAAACTGAATGTCTACATATTCCTTTAATAAACTTTTCTATACTTTAGCAGTGGTTCTCAGCCTTCTGGCCCTTTAAATACAGTTCCTCATGTTGTGACCCAACCATAAAATTATTTTTGTTGCTACTTCATAACTGTAATGTTGCTACTGTTATGAATCGTAATGTAAATATCGGATATGCAGGATGGTCTTAGGCGACCCCTGTGAAAGGGTCGTTCGACCGCCAAAGGGTTTGCAACCCACAGGTTGAGAACCGCTGCTTTAGAGGAAGCATCAGGATAAAAACCCAGAAAGCCTTCATTCAACAACATCCACCAAGTGCCAGCCACTGATTTGCAGAAGTTAGTGTGAAAAGGTGCTAAAGCCTGCTTGCTCCTAGCTGATGCACAGAGGGGTTAGACTAGGGTAGGGTCTGAGGGAAGAGATTCTATTTGTTTTATTCATATCTTCACTGGGTTCTGAATCATTAGGTTTTCAATTTTAAGAAAGGTTTTAAGTTTCTTTCTGCTTCATTTCAGAACTTACTTGAAAGAAGACAGTTTGGGTCTTCCAGATATGCTGGCCAAGGCCACCAGACTGATGCATTGTCACTTGCCATTTGTAACACTACCCAGAAACAAGACATAGACTCATTCTAAACCACAGGAGTAAGTGTTCTGCAGCAACAAATGAATAAAAAAGTATATAGATAAGTTAGAATGACAGGTTAACCTGGTTTAGAAGGTGCCTGTGGATAAGAAGTATGAACTGTAATGTCGCTTGATTTCTGGAAACTCTAAAATTAGAAGATGTGAAAGATTTAGTGAGTGAAAAACATCCTGGAGTCCAATCTCCTATTAATATTTATCTTCAATCTTGCTTACTAAGAACCCCCTACACATGAGAGAGAGATATAGGACACAGGAAATGAGACCATTAGGATTATTTTAGGTCGATCTGCTCTTATTGTGTACTCCCATCTGAAGGGTCTGTACTTCTTTAAAGTATGTCATGAAAAATAGAGAGTATAGAACTTGAAAATGCAATCTATAGACAAAACCATTTTTTATTAGCATGACTTGTGTAGGAGGGTTTTCAGCATCTAATGGGTAGAGATTAGGGATGCTACTAAAATATTCTACAGTCACATGACCTTCTCCTAGTCCTTACCCCCAGCAACAAAGAATTATTCAGTTCAAAATGTGAACAGTGCCAACGTTGAGAAACCCTGATTTGAGGAACACACTGTTAGTCAATGGCATGTTACTTTGAACAAATCATAAGCAATTTCTCTCTTATTTGGATCTTCTCAAAGATTTTTTTCTCCTCCTAAAAACCCGTTTTAAGAGAGTTCCAGTATTATATGTTGTTATTTACTTAACTTTTTTTCACACTTCAGCTTCTAATTTTAATTTTTTACTGGAAATTTTATTCATTATCTTTTACAAGCTTGAGATGTCTTTGTAACAACTCAGGACAGTCCCTACTGGTTTTTTTTATTTTCATTTTTCTTTTAACACCTTCCAATATCCTATCTTCTATGACAGCTTCCTCTACACAGGTTACCAACCTTTGTAATGACCTCCCCAACCTAGACCTAACCAAATGTTTACGTAGCTCCCCCTTCCCTTGCTAACCTTCCCTTGCTAACCTACCGTGCATACCTCTTTTGAGGCTACTGTGTTCTCTTGAATCTTACCAGGATTTAGTGATCACCTAATGTAAATCCCTATCTTATTAGTCAATAAAATGAAAAGGAGCAAGTTAATAGCAAAGCGAAGATAAAACTCTAGGCCTCCTGACTCCTAGTTGACCATAATTTTTAGGATACAACACTGCCTCAGACCTGACAAAATACCCATATGCATTTACATCTGTTTGTATTAATGCTCGTAATATAGCTAGAACTAACAGTCAAGTTAGAGAAACCTACTAATTTGTAAAAAAAATTGTTTGGTGTAATTTGCTTTGTATATTAATATGTTAGCTCTGGCACTAAATACATGTAAAGATATTGCTTACAGAAATAAAAACTGATTTTTTTTTACATGTCAGATTGCCTCTTCATGGGCTTTACTGCCAACAATATGAATCTGACCTCTATAAATGATAAATATAATGTTTTATTTTAAAGATAGTAGTAATGAGTAAGCTTGATAATCAGAGAACATGAAAAAACTCTGGCATCCGGAGGGAAGAACAGTGGGAATTCTTACATCTACTCTAGCCTGCTATCCAGTATTTATTTGAATTTAAATCGATGCTAGGAGGGGAATTACAGAATGAAGGCAAGTGATGAGTACTGATGATGATAGAAGGAAAAAACATTGCAGATGGAAAGATCTTCTCTGAGGGAAACCAAGCTAAGCAAATGGCCCCAAAATGTGAGCTTACCACCACCAAACCCAAGGTGTCCCGGTGTTTTCCTTTCTCTTCCTGCAGAGACAAGATTGTCAGGATGTCAAGCACCTGATTGAACTCTGCCGCACTGCACTGCGAATTCCAAGGCTATGTGTGTCATTCTGCCCATGTGTTTCCAATTTAACATGCTCTTTCTCTCCAGATAGCTTTACAAATAGCTAAGCACACTTAATGTGGTGACCCAACCAGGAAGTATGTGTCAGACTGCTAACTCAGATGCCTTTCAAATGATTGTCTGGACAGGCAAAACATCACCAGCAGCTATTCCTTGCCAGGGATTTCTATGGCAGTCAGCCGTCTAATCGGGATATAAACTTTCTTATGACCTTGGCTGCTGTTTCACTGTAATTATCTTAGACCTGCAGGTAAAATCTAGGCATTTTCATGACTGTGGAATTTTTATGGAAATGAACATCAAATATATGGAATGTGAGCTTGTGTAGAACAATGAAGAAGCAACAGATGTGAAGGAGCGAGAAGGGAAAAACAAGAGGAACCAGATGGTTGACACCCTTATGAAAAATGAATATGTGATGCACAATTACCCTCTTGGTAGAAATAGAAATACTGTAGCCTTAGAGTATTCAGTGCCCAGCTTAATCTTTTCATATTTTGCATTGTTCCAGCTCCTTGCCACTCTACTACAATGCTGACTTCGGGACTTTTACAATGCTGGAGTATCAAATTTGTCATGGAACACTGAAACACACAATTAAATAATAAAATTAACCATGAGGTCATATTAGATCTGAATGGTTGTTTGAGTCTGTTAATACTAAAGACAAAGAAAAGAAACAAAAAACTCTTAATATGTTCCTAATAAAAAGAGTGGCAAATTTAAGAAAGGTAAGTGCATAACATGGTAATTAGATATAAATGCATCCCATACAGGTGCAAACATTTCAAATTTATGTATAAATTAGCATCAAAAAGTCCACCTTTATTTAAATCCACATTTTATTCCCCCAAATTTTGTAAGATATACCTCCACTAATATGTTCAAACACATATGCATGCATTACAGATATAAAATCATGACACAAAAATTCCATATGTACAGTCAATAATTTAAGATATGTTTTTTTGTACTGCAAAACCATTCAGTGCAGTTTATCATAACCCAGGCTAAAAAACATTATGTCTTGTGTCTACAGTGAGAACAAAAATTCCATATGTACAGTCAATAATTTAAGATATGGTTTTTTGTACTGTTTATCATAACCCAGGCTAAAAGACATTATATCTTGTGTCTACAGTGAGAGTTCTCAGAAACATCCCACATACCTGGTATGCAAAAGCCCCTTAGAGACCCAGATAAAAAGTAACAGAAAGGAGGACTAAGACATAATAAGAAACATTGGCAAATTCGCTTTAAGACTTACTTGTGGTATTTTTCCCAAGCTAGTTTCTTTAAGTGAACAGAGAACTGTATAATGCTTTTTTAAAGGGAGACAAATAGAGAGGAAGGAAGTACATTTTGCTCCAACTCTAATTGGTCCTAGACTAAAGGACACGATGAGGTATTCATTTGCATAACAGTTCTAGTGAAGAGACTATTTGACTAATTGGTATTTTCAGGTTATCAAGTAATATCTAACTGTAATTAGTTTATTGGTTATAAAATGAATGTAAATAAGCTTCACCACCTGTTTGAGTGAATGTTACATTAAGGTTATTAAAACTCTTTTAAGATAAATACAAGAAATGATATGGGCTTTATGATGCTACTATACCTGTCTAAAACTTGTCCGTTCTTTTGAATACGTAAAAGTCAATGGAAGGTCCAGCCAGGTGACTCAGTTGGTTGAGCATAGTCCATATCCCATACACCAAGAAGGTTGTGGGTTTGATTACAATTTGGATGTGTACAGAAGGCAACCCATCATTGTTTCCCTTGCACATCAATGTCTCTCTCTCTCTTTCTCTCTCTTCCCCTCTCTCTCCCTCTCTCTCTCTCTCTCTCTCTTTCTCCCTCTCTCTATCTCTTACTCTCTCTAAAATAAAATTAAAAATCCTCAGGTGAGGATTAGAAAAATAAATAAACTCAATGAAAGATTTCCAGAATTGCATCTTTTAACAGAGATTCCAGTAAAGCCCCTCAACTTTGACAATGTGTTAAATTTGCATACGCAAGTAATTAGAGTATATTTTAAGGCAGTATACTCTTGTGTAAATCTTTGTTCCCTATTACATTGAGGTGTACTTAAGGAAATGATCTTGTTTTATTTTGTCCAAACTTTAGCACAATAACTGAGACAGCATTCATATCTATTGTATGTAGAAGTGATGGATGAATAGGGGTTGGGGGGAGGCGGGGAGACACAGCAAAAATAATGAGTTAATAAGCTGTCACCCAACAAATTATCTTAAGAATAAAATGACTGGCTTTGGCAAGTAGCATTTTAAAGACCAACTCTTCCACCAAGAACAATTATAAAATCTCAAGATAATCCAACTCTTTGAGGGCTTTAGAAAACAACATGGGTAGCCAGGATTTAAAATGACAAGATATATATTATATATATATATATTGAAGTGAACCCACAGTTCTCTGTTTCTGGTCTTGCAAAGAAGATAAGAGAAGTCAGAATGAAGCAGCTAAAATGTATTAAAGCTGAGCAGAGTTTTTGATAGTCTCAAGATGCCAGGGGGGCAAAAATTCCTACCAAAGGAGAAAGACCCTGATTTTTTAAAAAAAGAAAAGAAAAGAAAAAAAAGTAGACTTTCCATTAATACTCCCCCAGGGTTGCAATCTAGGAATAAAAGCAAACTAGAAATATTCAAGCCCCTGGACATACTGAAAGTCAAACACAAATTTCTCATTCCCTAATTGGGTCAAAGTAATGTGTTCAAATTCTATGTCTGATAGAAAAACTAAACACTGGAAAAATAAAGCATTATCCTGAGGCTGCATACACTGAGTGGCCAGATTATTATGACCACCTGACGTTTGTTGGCAAATTAGCTATAATTTCGCGCTGAAGTTGCTAGAGGGCCAGACCATTATAAATAGGGAAGCGTTCAAATATATCCCACGTTCAAAGGCTGTTAAATTGCGTTGTTTACCCATATCTTCAGGAAAAAAAATCACTTCTACTGTCGTGGTAAACAACCTGCTTCCCTATTTATAATGGTCTGGCCCTCTAGCAACTTCAGCGCAAAATTATAGCTAATTTGCCTACAAACGTCAGGTGGTCATAATAATCTGACCACTCAGAGTAAATTTTGTACTGAATATGCAAAGTATTCAATAAAAAATTGACAGGTATACCAGGAGATAAGACTAAGTGACTAAAACCCCAAAAATACAATAAAAATGAAATAGACTTACAAATGACTCAAACAATAGTGTTATCAGATATAAACTTTTAAAATGCTATATTTAATAATCTCATGATATTAAATGGCAACATGGAGAATTTAACCTAAGAACTAAAGACTGTAAACAAATTATCAAATTAAAAATTTGTAATTGCTGTATATACTAACTAAGGTTAAGAACACAACATAGCATATTAAACATTATAGAAAGAAGTACTAGTGAAATGGAATCAAATTAGTAAAAATCCCCATGAAAGCAAAGAAATAATTTTTAAAAAAAGACAGAATGTAAGGAACATGTTGGACATGGTGAAAGGTCTATCATATATATATATATTTGAAATCCTAAAAGAAAACTAGAAAGAGAAAAAAAAGAAGAACCCATATTTAAATGATACTAGCCAAGATTTCCAAAACTGATCAAAGACCTCAAGCAACAGAATTTAAAAGCTCTATAAACCTAAAACAAAATAAATACAAATAAAGCATCTAGGTGCACTTCTGATTCTGAAAACCAAAGGTAAAAGAAAAAAAATCTTAAAAGCAGCAAGAGAAAAAAGAAAAAATACTCTCAAATAAGCAACCATAAGATTGCTTATTTACTAAAAGGATTAAGTGATAAGACAATAGAAAGTTATTTTCAAACTTCTAAATCAAGATAAGTTATAACCATAATTCCTTACCTAGAAAGATACTTCTCAAAAATAAAGGGCAATTAAAGATTATATCAAACAAACAAAAATAGAGAAAATTTATTGGCAATAGATCCATGCCAAATACATACATACAGTACATACATACTAAAAGTTCTTCAGGCAAGAAAGAGTGATCTTAAATATGCAGAAAGGAATGAAGTGTAATAGAATGAGTAAATATGTAGAAAATATAAATGAATTTTACTCTGTAAAATAAAACATATTGTATGAAATTTAAAATCTATATATATAAAACCCTAATATGCAAATAGACCGAATGGCAGAACAATTGAACAACTGGTCGCTATGATGTGCTCTGATCATCAGGGGGCATGCATGGAACATGGTGGGCGTCAGCCATGGTGGGATGGTAGAGCAGGTGAGCAGGGGCACCAGACCAAGGTGGGGCACCAGTTACTGTCATCGGGGCAAGCCTCTGGTGGTTACTGAAAATTCTTTGCTCCCACATGCCGTGGTCCCACCCGGTGCTTGCACCTGCTGCCAGCGCTGGCCCCACGTGCACCCACTGCTGGCACCAGAGCTGGCGCTCACACCTGCTGCTGGCGCCCGGCACCAGTCCCAATTGCTCAGAGCTGTCAGCGGGTGAAAGTGGTGGCTGCCAGCCCCAATCATCTCTGAGGGCTTCTCCACCTCACCCTGCTCCTGAGGGGCAATCAGAGCATCAGCCACTGCTCACACCAGCTGCTGGCACCAGTCCCAATCGCTCTGTGCCATCAGCAGGTGGGAGCGGGACCTGCACTGTCAGTGCATGGGAGTGGCGGCAGCGGGAGTGGGGCTGCCAGCAGACAGGGGACCAGGGGCTGTGGTGAGAGGGGCCAGGAGGGGACACAGAGGATGGGCTGAGACCCACCCTTGTGCCCACTGCAGCCTCATGACACACAGTTCCTTTCAAGGTGCATGAATTCGTGCACTGAGCCCCTAGTGTAATCAGCTACTTTGTGTTGACATATTAACCTATTCTGGTCAAATATTCTATATAATAAAACCCTAATATGCAAATCAACTGAACGGTGGAATGACCAGCAGAATGACCGGTTGCCATGATGTGCACTGACCACCAGGGGACAGATGCTCAATGCAGGAGCTGCCTCCAGCCCACAGGCCCTGACCGGCGGCAGCAGGGTGTGGGGCCTGTGAGCAGGTGGTGCCAGGCCAGCCATGGTGGATGGGAATGGGGGCCCTGATCACCCTGCCAGTCGCCTCACAGATCAGCCCTGATTGTGGCCAGGCCTAGGGACCCTACCTGTGCACAAATTTCTTGCACTGGGCCTCTAGTAATTTAAATATGTGACTAGAATAGCAAAAAAGGTTAAAGAGATAAGACATATTTAACATTGCTTCATTGTCCAGAAGGTGAAAATACTACAAAAGGACTAATTTCTAGCAGCCTTTGCAAAAGGGCTAATTTCTAGCAGACTTTACTGAGTAAAAGATTCATGTGTGGTACCTAAATACATTGGCAAACTATGGCTAAGAGCCAAATCCAACTAACCACCTATTTTTGTATATGCTGAAAGTTAGAATGGTTTTACATTTTTAAATGGTAGGAAAAAAATCAAAAGAAAAATAGAATGTTGATAGTGTGTTTTGCAATATGTTATACATTACTCTAGATCTTTGCATTTATTAGTTCAATTTAATTGTTATAT